ACCAGTCTGTGGCCTACAGTTTAAATGGTGGAAGGAAGGACGTGAGATTTGAGGCTGGGGAAGGAGGCATGGGGTTCTAGGCACGGGAGGCAGTCTCTCAGGCTGGAGCCAGGGGCCAGGCGCCTGGGCAGGCCACCTTCCTCTGTGGTCCCTCCGAGACCTCCTTATGCTCTTGGTTTCTCTGCCTTCTGATTCCTCTGGACCCTCACCCCTTCCGGGAGCCGGTGTTCAGACACCATCGTGACTGACAGGTGCACTCTGTGAGGCCCCAAGGGCAGAGGCTGCGCTCCCCCTCCCCGCCCCGTCTGTCCTGTGTATACCCCTACAAGAATGCTCCCCTCTTGCCTTCAGGTGCCATTTCTGAAAGCTGCTGGAGCCGGTGCCCAGGAGGAGCAGGCACGGCTCTGTGAGCAGCTCCAGAAACAACAGGGGTGCTGCCAGCACCAGGCTCACCTGGTGGCCTCAGCCCTGAGGGAGCCAGAGGCAGCGGCCGCAGCCACATGGACTAGGAGCGACCGTGGGTGTGGGGAGACCCAGCGGGCCCTGCAGGGTGCCATCGCCAAGCTGCAGGTGAGTGAGTCCTGGCAGGGGCCATGAAGGGTGGGGTAGGGTAGGTCGCTGCCAAGATGTGACCCCATTATTTCGGCTCCAGAATGACTTCATGGCCCTCGTGAAGGAAAATGCGGACCTGAAGGAGCGGGTGGAAAAACTAGAACTCGGACTCATCCAGCTCTCTGGAGAGAGAGACATGATAAGTGAGCAGGAGGCCAGGGCAGGGCAGGGGAGCTGCAGGGTGCTGGGAGGGGCCCCAGTGTCTGAGCCTGTCCTCCCGCAGGAAAGTCCATCAAACCAAATGACCATCAGACAGCAGTGGCCAAGACCCAGCACCAGAAGAACGATGTTAGCATGCTGTCCGAGGCCGAGGAGGGGATGAAGGTAAGGTGTACAACATCTCTGCTGGGGTGAGGGGGATGGGGGTGGGCGTGAGCGTGGGTGCCGGCACCGGCATTGTAGCTGAGCACCCCTATCTCAAGGTGAAGCTGCTGGAGCTGCAGGGCCCAGTGATGCAGCTTATGATCGGCCACGAGGTCCAGCGCCCTGCTAATGATTCCACTCCAGGGGCCCCAGCCCCCCAGGAGCCTGGTGCTGCTGACAAGGATGGTGAGTAGAGCCCTCAGGCGGGGTGGGCATTCAGGAGCAGGGGAGGCTGGCATTGTACTCAGATCCCCACCTCCCTCTCTCCAAAGAATTTTATGAGATGAGCCCGGACGATGACAGCGACAGCCTGGAGCCTGCAGGAGGGAGGGTACACCACACCCCACTGCACAGCAGATTGCTCACGGCTGTGTGAGCTGCGGGATGGCCAGCAACACCGACCCGTGGGCAGCAGTCCCTCTATGCCATGCTTTTACCGGGCTACTGCAAAGGAGGAGGTAAACATCACCATCAGCTAAGAGCTGGCCAAGAAATTTACAAAGGAACAAAGTTATAGGATTAGTCTTCTACATGTTTACTTTATTTCAATGTTAGAGCCAGTCATGATGATTTGTGTTTCTAATTTATAGTTTATTTGTTAAAAGTTAAAGGAGAGTGGGTCTTCATGTGGCTTTCACTGATGTTCACTCTGGCATCCTTTAGCGTCTTTCATTTTTAATTTGATAATCGTAGGTCATTAGCACGCCTATGGAGTTTGCCCTTACGTGGTGGGAGTTCAAACACACAAAGACCCACTATCGGCGCAAAACCATTCCCGCTAGTTTGGAATAGGCTGCCATGGTTTTTAACGTTATTGCGGCATGTATATTCACTATGGAATTCAGATACAATTTGCTTATGTTCTGCTATGGTATTTGATTGAATCCTAATTACAGTGAGGTCTTAATTAGCTCAATATGTGCTTTGCCCTCACGTGCACACTGTTTATTATTTGTAAGGTGCCACTATGTGTACTGACATCTAGAGTTGTTGAAAAGCCAAGAACTGGAAACAGCCTTTCTTCCATTTTCTGTGCATTGCAAATGGGAGTAATAACGTTTTTGGGAGCTTTTAACATCTCACAGAAGAGGAAAGTGGCCTGCTCTGGCAGGTATGTGCAGAAT